ATTTTCTAGGTCTGGATAAGTATGGAAAACAAAAACAAACAAAAAGAAAAAAATATATATATATATATATATATATATATATATATATCACTGCTACAAACTTTGTAGCCTATTTCTAAAAAAAAAAAAATCTTTTTTTTTTTTTTTTAAAAGAAATGGTTTTCATTTTTACACCAATTAACATTTTAAAGGATGTTCCTACTTTCAAAAACAGAGTTTTGGTAAGTGTCAGGACTTGCTTGAAGAGCTCTAACTTAACTTCACCTTCAGTTTCGGAGAATGGTTTTGGACTGACGTGCATATGGTGCTTTGCAGGATGCAAAACTTTGCCAAAGTATTCGTATGCTGTTGAATTTTACATATTTCATGACTTTAAAGCAAAAAAAAAAATTCTGATTTTTTAGGCATTTCCTTCCAGTGACCCTTTAAACATACAACTAGAGATTCAATGGGATAGTTTAGATCAAACCACATTTATTGTTAGAATGGCCAAGTCAAAGTCGAGACCAAAGCTAAATAGGAATCTGAAGCAAGACTTGGGCATCACTGTCCACACCTATAATGTAACCCAATAGATTTTTAAAGAGTATGAATGAAGATTTCTTCAAGGCATTGTTTGCTTGTTAAGGTGACCTTTGCCTATAATTAGATTTTTATTTTATTTTTTTTGTCTTTGATTTTACGACAGCAGACATGAAGCTTCAATTACAAACCAATGTTTCTGTATTACCTTATATGGCATTCAGACATTACCTCTAAAGATTTGGTTTGCTCTTACCAGCCATGATACACTTAGCTCTGTAAATGAACTCGCTTCTGCTCCATAATGTACGCTCCTCTTGCTGTGCATGTTTTGCTGTGCAGCAGCAGTGAGAGGGAACTAATTTGCTTTTAATAACCGGCTCGATATCTCCCAGTTTCTGTTTCAGAAGCGGAAATTAGCATACTTTGAATGTGTACCACTAGGTTGTTTTTTTTCTTTTCTTTTTTAGCATTTAATTTTCCAGCATTTGAAGTGTGGAGCATCTTTGGCTGAAAGCCCTTCGCGCTGCGTTTATGTACTCAGGCTATCACACCTCGCGCAGGTAGGTTCCCCTCGTGGAGAGCTCTCCAACTCGGGCTGTTTGCCGTCTCCACCAGATCAGAGCCCTCTTTGGTTATGCACCGATGAATCTGGAGTCCGCCGGTTTGCCCGAACAGGTTTTAGTGCTCATCTAATTAGCATTTTCCACTGCGCTCCACCCAAGCAGCCTGTCCTGTTCGGGGTAGATTACGACAACGGTTGTCGGGCCGGAACGTGGGGTCTGTCGGTCATCGGAAATGGAGCAGAAGCAAAAGTGCTTTGAACTCCGAACTTTTACATTGCGTTTAGAGACTGCGATGGAAAGCAGAGGGTCTCAACAGGAAGACAATATCAAGAACTTCAATATTATTTTTTTTTTCTGTCACAGTTTGATTTCAGTGTTGGAAACTTTTTCTTTTTTCCCCCCCCTCGTTTGGTTTTTGCTAAAGGATCTCACGGGAGAACGTTCTTCTTACTGAAGACTTTCACTGTGATCTGATTCAGCTAAGGGATCTTCAGTAGTAAAAAAAAAAAAAAACACAAAAGAAGACATGGCGAACAGAGAATTGGCAGGGAGAACACGTTTATTGTGTTGCTATGCTTGTTTGTCAGACAGATAACCTCCAGATGTCTGCTCCGGGCGCACAGGCCCTACGACTGCCACGCAGCGGCAGTGTGCAGGGATGCCTGGGAACTGAGAGATGGCAGCTGGCTCTTCATGCCTTTAGGGTTCAAGGGCCCCCAGCAAGCAGAGGACACACACACACACACACACACACACACGCACGCACGCACGCACATGCCCACACTGTTCTTGTATCATGTATGCAAGCACACGCAATTTCAATCAGGGACACATTCATACAGATACACCCATGAATTATTTTTACACAATCAGCCCTTTAAGCATATGCCTCCATCAAGGCCATCTCAGGAGATTTCCCACATGAGCGCGCAAGAATGACTGACTGACTCCACACATGCAAAAACACTCATTCATCCATCGTGCACACATGTTCTTAAATGTCACTTATTTAGGCACGACTGAAGATATGTCCAGTTTTTTGTTGTTGTTTTTGTGGTAATTTAGTGCAAGTGTGAATAAGGTAGACTGAAGTAACTTTAAATGTGGCATGGTGGTTGGTAACGGATGCTTTGGGAGTATTTCAGAAAATGCTGATCTACCAATAACCAATAATTTCTCGTAGCTAAAGAAATTATTTTCAGAAGATGATAGTAATGGAACCGAGTCTAAAGCAACACTTGTTACTACCAAGACATGTGGGGTACCATCTGAAGTAGATGAGCTACAAAAGTCTGTAAAAGACCACACATTTTGATTCAGTCAAAATGTTCCACCTCGCATCCTTCAGGTGAACCTATCTATCAGAAATAGATAGGTAGAAGGTAATTAGTAGGTAAATGTGCTTTATTATTTTCCTGCCCTATTGAATCGAGCTGTTCTAAATTGTATAAATTAAAAAAGCATATAACTTCATGCATATGTTTTTAACCCTTTGGGATCTCAGAGCATTATAAATAAAATCTATTATTATTGTTGTTGACAAATACAAAAGTGTGAACTGGATTCACTTATTACCTCATGGTTCTTCAATAGTAGCAAAACAGCCTTAGTGCCTGGTTGTTAACATTATGAAAGCTATCTATCAGTTGACTTAGTACAGAATCATTGGAACAGCATCCCCAGGACTCATACGAGTCACTAAAACATAACCTGGACCAGCTCCAGGCTGCTCAGTCCGATTAACACACAGAAGGAGGAGGGATGAGACGTTCTGTGAGAATCCGGCTGAATCGTCAACAAAAATCCAGCTAAGAGATTCTCTATGAATAGTGAGATGGATTATGTTCTTGACAATTATGGATCCATAGAGGTAAACAGCGGGTTAGGTGTTAGCCTCTCAAAGGTGCAAGTGAGTTGGTGGGAGGGTTAGTACATCAGAGAGAAAGGAGAGCGGTGCAGCTTCTCAGTAAACAGCAGCTACGAACAGAAAACCGAAGTTGCTACTTCCACTGCTCTCTCAAACTGGACTCTTAGCAGATTCCCTATCACAGGATCAGAGTTTGGTAAAAAAAAACAACAAAAAAAACAACAACAACATGAAAAGCAAGAAGCCGTCCATGGATTTGGTTTTAAACTCTGATCTGATTATTGTTGGTGACCGTGTCCATCACTTCATCACCAGCCGTGTTCTGTTGGATTCTTCCATCAGGATAGAGCTCGATGTCACAAAGTTGAAATCGCATCAAACTAGTACGTTGAACATGATAGACGTCCTCCAATGGGCCTCCCCAGTCACCAGATCTCATTCCATTAAAGGGCTTTGTGATGAGGCGGAACAGAAGATTCCCATTATGGATACGCAGCTGACAAAATCTATGACAACTGTGTGATGCCATCATGTAAATGTGGAACATTTCTGACCCCCTGGAGAAAGTATGCCATAAAGAATTAAGATAGTTCTGGAGGCACAAGAGGCTCCAAACTGGTGTTGAACCTTACAAAGTGCCCGGTGAGTGTAAGTGAAGGAAAACAAGCCAAAAGATGTCCCATATATTGGATAGGCACACATTATTGTTTTCCAGAAGCTTACTGAGAGTGTACTTCCTGTGTTGTTCCCTCTTCTCTGTAATTCTGCTTCTGTCTCAATGCCAGCAGCATTTCATCTGCCATGCTGTTTGAAAGTCACAGTCGCATGCAGCCACTATGCAGATATCCTCCACTAGCAGACTTCCATCCAATGACAGCTCTTGTGTTGACTCCTATCGCTCTGGCTGACTGTCTCCCGTCTTCATTTCTTCATTTCTTTTAAAGGAATGTTGAGGCTTGACCAATGAAATATTTCAACCCCGTTATCATCCGCTCTTCATCAGCTGGTGGATTGTTGTATGGAAGAGGGCTGGTCGTTCATTGTATTTTCCCACTGATAGCTGGGAGGGGAGATATGGAGTTTATCTCAGGAGCTGTTCACTGGGACGGGCGTAGATGAAAAAGAACAGAGCCGCGGCTCATCGTATATGTCACCGGACTCCGAGTACGCTCACATAAACTGTCATGGATCGTTTTTCATCCACATTAAACTAAACATTCGCTTTTTGTTGGGTTATTATTTTATACGAGGATTGGCAAAGCTGAAAGCACCTTGCAAAAAGGATTTGGACCAATTATTCACATTTTGTAACATTATGTTACAAAATGTAGCTTGTTACATCACAAGCTACAATGAGTTCACTGGGTTTTTATGGGACAGACCAATACAGATTAGTGGATAATTGAAAATAAAAGGACAAGAAATTATGCATTTTAATTTTTTTTTCTTTTTACAAATAAAAATCTAAGAAATCTGGTGTGCACTTGTATTCAGCTTTCACAGATCAGCTATCAAGAGTAAGCTTGAATAATTACCAGATTTAAAAAAAAAAAAGCCCAACATTTTGAGAACAATGTAACACTTTACACTGGTGTATTATTATGTGTTGATTTTTCACATAAAACCCCACCCAATAAATACTGAATTTATAAGCTTATGACATCACAAAATGTGAATATTGCCATTGTCCAGCATCTACATGGCACAAATTCCCAGATAAAAACTAATTTGTGCTGTCACAAATTAGTTTTGTGACAGCACACCTGCACCAGGTGTGCTGTCACACTAATACTCGTACGAGTATTAAATGTTACTTTTTTTTTACTTTCACTTTTTTCACTCAAGTTTTACGGGGCTCCCCCTCGTGCCCATTGGTGGCCTCTTCACCCCACTTTGAAAAACACGGCTGACAAAAGTGCAGGGGGGTCCGACGGTACCAATACAGGAAGTGCGGGAGTCCCTACTGTGTCAAATCGAGATAGGAGTAATAGAAAGCTGGCCACTCTGAGGTTAAAAAAAAAAAAAAAAAAAAAAAAAGCTCCCCCCCCAGGGGGGAAGGGCTGACTCTGTCCAAAATGTCCGCCCATGCCAGCGGAGCTTGCTAAACCCCGAAAATGCAACGAGTGGAGACGAAAGATGAAAAAACATTCACCGCTGTTGCCTGAGCGTGTAGCTTCCGGCCGGCCTCCCTCACAGGCACAGCAGGTGCGCTCTGATAGGCCGGACAGTTGGCCCGGGTTTGCATTTCAGAGACGCGGCCGCGTTGCCGCTCGTGTGCTCAGCTGCCTGCGAGGCTGCGCTGCGTGCGGTCCAGCTGGGATTAGCAGGAGGATTTCCACCGTGTGCTTCAGGTGACAGCGACACACTTCCGCTGAGCGCGTGCGCATGTGTGTGTGTTCGTACGTGGGGGTGCAGACTCAACAATAGGATTAGGTGGATTACAGCAATACAGCCATATTACACAGGACGATAGCATAAAGGATCGGGATGGAAAAAATAAAAAATAAATAAAAAACACGGCTTTATGCACCCTTCTAACCCTTATTTTACGAGGCAAACTGAGTAAGAACGCAATCTTCCCTCTGCAGCTATAGCCGGAGGGCATCACAGAGGAGGGGCCGTGGAGATTGTTTATCCGTCCATACGTTCCTACATGAGAGCTGAACACTGGGAGATTTTCAAACGCCTTAAACATAAGCTGGGAAAAAAAAAAAAAAAAAAAAAAAAGCTCCGTGGTCTGAAACACCAAAAACAATATTAAGGCTTTCAACACAATTTGAAGAAAACTGTTTTCATCTTGGGATGATTACAAAACTGCAGGTTACTCCTCTCATTATCAGACAGATGTTTCTCTTGTATCTGTTTCATGCCAAGAAAGGCTTACTTGAGGTGGGGGGTGGGGGGAATACCTCATTTGTTTCAGTCTTCAGCAGGACGTTTTTAATTTAACGTTTCCTTCTGAAGGAAACGTTAAATTAAAAACGTCCCTGCGGGGATGTAAACAGAGCACACGCATCCATGCACGGTGCAGTCTGAAGGAATACTCACCGTCTCAGGTAGGAGTGGTGGGGCCTCCGGCTGGCTCAGGTTTCCTGCTCAGGGTTTTGAAACAAGCAATGTGGCATTATTTTAAGGAATTTGTGTCTTTTAACCTTGTTTCTTCTCCAGTGGCAGTCCGGCTCATACGCACCATTTCGACTGGTTACGTCGATTCTCGATCTCATCAGTTTGAAACAGTTTGATGCAAACAGTTTGCTGTGTGACACAAGTTTGTGTACACAGTGGTTTACTTTTGAGCGACTCACTTACTTTTGAATCTGCATGGAGTACGCTCCGACCTCCATGGAGTGAAGTATACCCGTGTATGTGGGGGTCTCGAATGTTCATAGATTTTATTTTTGCATACTGTGGTTGTAACAAGTGTTTTGAACGACTCTGTTTCATGATCTTGAGCCAATTTGTCAATTTTCCTCTGATCTCCAGTCAAGTGCAGCACCCTTGTTATTTTTTCTCTCTTTTGGATAAGTGGTTGTAGAATCCCAGAATGTCAGCAGTTTTATGAAAACACAGAGTTAATTCACTCTTTGTGGTATCAAGCAGTTAAACTGATGAACCTTAAAAAGTGTCCAAGTATACAGAACACTTAACAGATTTGGTTTACATGTTGGATGTAATTCGGCCATGTGACCCAGGTCTGATGGAGGCAGTGGTTCATTTAAAACTCACAGGACAATGGTCAGATACCTGCAGGAAATTTCCAAACCCAACATTCAGCCTTCCTGTTACCTGCTGGAAGTCTTGCTCTGTCTCGCTCTCTCGCAGCCTGAATGAACCACAGGCTTCACTTTTTAAGTAATACATCCGAAATTGTTACACCTTTCTTTTTCTTCTTCTTTTTAACCACCTCACTACACACTTTCAATCTTTTTTTTTTGTTGTACTTAGTAACAACTTTCACACCAAAGAGTGTTGTTGTTAGCACTACCTGGCAGTTCTAATCATAAAGGGATCTCATTTTTGACTCTCTGGCCAGCCAGTTTCCCCTCAGGACCGATCAGCCGTCAAGATTTTTCTGCTTTTTTTTTTTTTTTTTTTGGTTGCTGTGTCTCAAGATTCACAACGCACTTTCTCTTTTTTCTCTTTTCAGATTGGCTTTGAAGAAATGCTGTCACGGGTGTGGGAGTCCCAACCCAGGGTTATCAAGTTCTCTCGGAGACATCAGAGAGGTTCCTCTGCGAACAGCTTGAGGCGGCAGAAGAGAGATTGGGTCATCCCACCTATCAATGTTCCTGAAAACTCCCGAGGACCTTTCCCACACATGCTTGTCAGGGTGAGTGACAGTGTGATTTTTAGCAAACAACTTTGTCTTCGGAAAACTTCTGCGCGCCATCGGATCACAGAGAAAACCCGATTCGAACACGCACTCTGAAACGTCTTTGATTTTAAAGGACTTATTTGGGTCTATGGGAAGAATAGAATATAAAAAAACTTGGGGAAGATGTCTTTGTATCATATCTTCTTCATTCACCACCAGGCAAGAGACACAATTTTACTGGTATTTTCTACTTGCCACGCAGGGGAGGTACAGGGAAAACACTGCACTTTACTCAGTTTTACATCATAATACCAAATGATTTGTATTCTGGGCCTTGGGGCATCAACAGACAAGGAGAAGGGGGGGAAAAAAAATCTATGCTTGGAAGGCAGACAAATACCCACTTGATGCTTGGTCTCAGAGCTGCAGACCTGAGGATTACTGAAGAGTGGGAATTCTGTGCTTGTTAAAACAGCTGGCAAACTGTTTCTTTTTAATTTTTTATCATGAACTAAGTGTCTATTTTTCCCATGTAATAGCAGAAGAAGGAGGCTTTCATTAAAGTGCAGCATCCTGCTGAAGATCCCTGATGTTCCCATTAAACTCTTTCTGCCATTGTGTACAACGTCCTCAGACAATTTAACAGCTTGATTTGGATTTCCACATTTGTTCATTTAAACATGATTCTTCTGCAGGGCTTCAGTTATTATTATTTTTTTTCCATCAGTAGCGATAAGGGAAAAAAAAGCCTTTTATTGTATTTTATGACAGATTCAAATTCTCTACTGAATATTAAGACCTTTTCAAAGAGTGAGTTAGTCTTGGTGACCTTCTTTGAGCAGTAAATCGAGAGGGGGGTAAAACACGCAGCAAATGGTCCAGGAATCGAACCCTTGACAGCAGTGACTCGATGACTATAGCCGCAACTCATGGTCCATGTGGTCAACCAACTGAGCCAACCCAGATCCGGTTAGTCTTTGCTGAAAATGGTTCCTGTTGTGATACTTTTTCAACAGTGGAGATTAATTTTGAGGCTGAATTTTGAAGTGGCTCAGCTTTGCAATCCTATTCGTAATCACCATTAAGATGACAGAGAGTGAAAACCATGACGCAGTTCTCAAGGCACATGAACTGTTACACCATTGTGATGTCTAAGTATTCATATTTACATGGACATAAGTAATCAGAACTGATAAGTTACATAAATGCTCCAATTGGAATATTCGGTAACACTTTATTTGAAGTGGTGTGCATTATACTGACATGACACCTGTTATGAATGTGAATAAGTTTTCATGAGTGTTGTTCATGACTGTTGTCATGAATTGTCATTCGGTAACTAATGACACTTTTAATGCAACTTTTGAAGCTACTTTGTATTAAAAGTGTCATTATTTACCAAATGACACTTCATGGCAACGGTCCTAAACATCCATAAAGACTTCTTCGTGTTCATGACCGGTGTCATGTCAGCATTATGGACACCCCTTCAAGTAAAAGTCTTACCGAATATTCTGATCGGATTCGTAATAAATTTGTAATCTGAAGGAGAGAGTTGTTTTATGAAAACGCACATCACGATTGGACTAATTAGTTTTGCACCTATATAAAATGATGCATTTGTACTATTCAATCAGAACACATTTTAAACCGATCATAGCTAAAATGAATAATAAGTTTTTTTTTTATTTTTCTCTAGGTACTCCATTGTTCACCAAAAGTTAAACAGGGATGTAAGATTACCTGGTAATTGTAGATTCATTGTGGGTGGTTAAGGATTCATGTATAGTTGTTTGTCTTGTAAATATCTTGACTAGTGCTTTGATAAACTTCTGACTTGTCCAGGGTGTAGCCCTCTTTGTCATTCCCAACCTTAGAGACCCCGATCAAGATCCAATGGGTATAGCGTCCATCTTGGACTTACTCAGTCGTCACAGACCGAGGAAACCAGCTGAGTATGTTTGTGCTTGCTGACACTGGATAGTACATCTTCATAAGGACGGATATTTGAGTCAAAAAAAGTGCTTTTGATATTTGTATGACTACACCGTCATTGGTGAAAAGAGGAAACAGAGGTGTACCAGTGTTGAGTTGCAGCGCAGAGTCGGTATTTATGATCTTTACCACCGGTGGTCTGGCTGTTGAGTGTTAAAGGTAAACAGGATTTGATGTTAACATGAGACGTATAAAGTTATACTTGTTGCATTGACGAGATATTCCTGCTTGTTCCATGGCTGCTCTTACAATCTAGCATCACATAATTAATATCTCAGACAGGTGGTTTTCAAGCAATCAATGTGCAAGGACATATTTTCTTGTAGTTAGACCAAACATTTCCCGTTTCCACCTCTGAAAACACTCCTTGGTTTAGAAAAAGGTAATTGTCATTTCACCAAGACTGGTTTTAGACGAAAGCGTGACCTTGCTTCTGAAAAGGATGTCTTTGAAACTTAAAGAACTCAATTATACACAACCACAGAACAAAACTTGGAAGAAAAAAAAAAAAGATCAAATTTAAACTCAACAGGCATCAGACAAATGCCGAGTTATATCCAGTGGCTGTAAGGTGAGGAGAAAATCTCCAAATTAATTTCTCATGGAGGTGTCAATTTTTTTAGCTCTTTGCTCTCACTGCTCTAATCGCTGCACACTCTCTACCTCTTATCAGTCACCCACACAGACAGGCAGCTTCTTGGAGACATTTTTGACTCACACAAAAATAGTAGCACACACACACACACACACACACACACACACACATAGTCCTTTACGCCCATTTGTACTCCATGGCTTACACTCCGGGATTACGGAAAATCGCCTTTCACCAATGTGACGGCAAGTGAGCAGATTTTCCACCAATGCGTGAACACTCTCGCCCTTGTGCGCACAGACACACATGTACTCACACACACACACACACACACACACACACACACACACACACACACACACACACACACCATCATGCCACGGAGTGTCACAGGAGGTGCAAAATTGTCGCGCCCTGCTGGAGAAGTGGAGCCTCTTTCATCCCCTTTTTTTAGTGTCGGGTGTCTGATGGTTGGATTAAGCTGCAGGTGACTACCTTTATAGGCGCGGGCCGTGTCGGCGTTGAGGTCGGGTTGGTTTGAATGTGGGTCTGTAACTCTATCAAGCCGGCTGTCCTGTAGCAGCGCCTCGGCCTTTAGCCGTGCAGCATGGGGGCAGATGAGTCTGTTGCTCTGCAAATTTGTCTGTTTCCAGTTCTTCCTGCCACAAAACTCTGTGGTTTGTCGCGGCGTGAAGGCGAGCAGCAGAGGGAGATTCTGAGCTTTAGAACGCCGGGCTCAGAGGAAGCGAGGCTTTAAAGTCTGAACCTGAAGACACACCAGCTCCCGCCGGTGTTAGAGTGTAAATGGGATGTAGGTGTAGTTCTCGAGGGAAGCTTCATAAACAGGTGGATCAGATGTAAAAGTATTCATACTTCTTTTAGTTTTTCACATTTGGTCACTAACTTCACTGTGATGATTTCTTTTACCGTATTTTCCGCACTGCAGGGTGAACTGGATTATAATTCACACTGTTAATGAATGATCTGCATTCGATCTTTTTTCTCGTATATAAAGCGCACCAGACCACAAGGCGCATTAAGCGAAACAAAACAGTTGGATAAGTCAGTCAGTCAAAGCACAGTGCGTATTACTCCACGACGCTCCCGACTATAGTAGCCGCAATGTAGCTAAAACAGTTTGACAGAGCGCTGTGAGTGCCGTGTACCACAAAAAATCACTTCAAGGTCAGTGAGCACAACCAGAATTAATCCATAGCTGATTTACCCAAGGATAATATATATGAGGCGCACAGTTGTTTTTTGATAAAATTAAAGGCTTTTAAGTGCGCCTTATAGTCCATATTAGGATTTGACATGATGGACCATAATGACTGAAGCGGGGACGGCCTGCCAGGACAACACAAGACAAACTTCATGCACACACACTCACAGCCACACCTAAGGGTATTTTAGATGAACCACTTAACCCCATACTGATGTTTCTGGTTGTCACGTTAGCATGTTGGCTTCTTCTCAAATGTTTGTGTAAGGAAGCCGAGAACTGAGCATGCAAACTCCACGCAGAAAGACTCTTAGACTAAAGCTAATGTGCAGCTTTGCAAAAACACACAGATGGATGACTGAAAGCTTTTCAGAAACCTTGAACTATCAACTTTAATTATTTATGGAGGCGGGGTGTGTGGTCAAACTGTTTAAAATTGTATTCAGCAAAGGATGTGGAAATTTGAGTTGAAGAAAATCAGTTTCATTTGTAAAGTGTGGAATTTAGAAATATATATTGTTTTAGAAATAACAGATGACTCATCAGTTTTTATAAGTATATTGTTTGTTTTTTTTTTGTTTGTTTTTTTATAATAAATATAACACAAAAGTTCATTTTTTGAGGTTGAAAAAGTGACCTTTAAATTTTGTTTTAAACAATCTGAATAACTTTTGTTTTTATAGCAAATTACTTTTGGGGTTGTAATTTTAAAAATCACCATTGTGGTGTTATGTACTCATCCCCTTTAGATCTGATACCTAAAAAAAAAAGCAACTAACTTCTCTAAGAAACCACCTAATAAATAACATTTGCTCCCCGTGTTTAATCACATCTTTGTAGATGTTAAGTGATGGATGCAGCTTGTCAAAAGAAAGGCCTGTTGGCCTCTGCTTTGATTCTGTAAGAATGTAGAAAGATCTCTGACACCCACAATAATAACAGGTTAATGCAGCTGGGCTGAGGTTGGATGTTACTGTGATGCTAATTACGCCGATAGATCTAGTTTTAAAAGCAACGTCCTATAATTTCCTGCTGGGAAATCCTTAGCAATTATCCATATCATTCTCTGCCTGTAACTTACTCTTTTACATTTAGCGTAACAACACACACACACACACACACACACACACACACACGCACACACGTTTGTGTGGCTATCTTTATGGGGACTTTCCATTGACTTCCATTCATTTCTATGGATTA